AATTTGGCGAATCACAGCAATCGCCGCGTCGCAGAAGTCCTCCACAAAATCACCGTAGTCCTCAATGAGCTTCGTGCGCAGTTCTGTGGCCTGTTCCAAGTACCTCGCCGTCAGCTCGTTATCGCCAAGCATACTTTCCAGCAGAGAAAATACAACGCAGCGGAAGAAACAGTTCCCATCCCGTCGTGCATACCGGATGCCACTGTAGCGGTCGTCATTGTCGGACGCAAAAAGCGAAAGTACTTTTGGCAAAATCGATGCACTATTGGCAAATTCCTTCACGAGACTACATGTCTCCGACAGCGCCTCTACGGGATCACTAAGAAGCGGTACCGACTCGATTTCGCTCTGAATGATCGCCATCTGCATCTCCCTGTCATGGGCGGAGGAAGTCATGGATGCTGCCTTAAAACGGTGTGAGAAGAGGCGAGGGGAACCACACAAACAAACAGACAAAAAAACTGGCAGACAGCCGCTTCCACCCAACCGACAACAGGACAAAGAGCAAAAAAAAAAAAAAAAAAAGATGGTTAAAAGTGAGGAAATAAAACCAAAACGCGGACAAATACACACACGATAATGATACAAGTCTGGGCTATGGGGCCTTCTCCCCTCCCCTCCCCCTATTCCTGCAAAGGGTGAGATACGGCATAACATAACATAAAAAAAGAAAAAGACAAACAGAGAGAGAGAGAGAGATGAGACGTTGGTTCGCCGCACCCAACAAACATTCGCAACAGTAAACAAGCAGGCGTATAAAGAACAGCGTTTCGTGATACCCAAACTCGCTGCAAGCACACAATGTGGTAGTCTCATTAACGACCCCCCCCCCCCCCCCCCCCGCAACCGCCGGCCTCCCCTTCGCGTGGAGGGGCAATAGGAGAAGGGTGGGAAAGAAAGAAAAGAGAAAAAAAAAAAAAGGAACGCACGTCTCATATGCCTCTGCTTGCTATTATCTCAACTGGCAAAAAAAAAAAAAAACGAGTATCTAAAATACAAAGAAATCGTGAGAAGAATCCAAAAATAGCGGCAATTCACTGCAAACTCATTTACTTCCCCAGCGTGCTTTCTTTATATTTGTATTTCTTGGAAAGGTCGATTCCAACCTTTGAGAGCTCCAATGAATTGGCGCAGCAGAATCCACGTGACATGAGGTCAAGGGACTGGGCATCGTCAATATTGTGCACCACACCGCCTGCCTCACGAACAATGATGCTGGCGGCGGCAATGTCCCAGGCATAAATGCCCACCTCAAAGTACAGCTCTGCCCTCCCACTCGCAACAAAGCACATGTCAAGCGCCGCTGAACCGTGATTGCGGACTGCGTGAACAGGAATACAGGCCAGTTCCTTTTGTATGGAAATAAGGCTCTTCACCGCAGGCTCACTGCGATTAACAGCTTGATGCAACAGGACAACAGACTCTTCAAGACGGCGCTTCTCTGAAACATAAGTCCGTTGTCCGTTGCAGTACGCACCGCGGCCTCGAACAGCCGAGTACACTTCATGCATCCGCGGGGCGCTGACAACACCAAGGATCGGCTCCTTGTCAACGACCAGAGCAATGGACACGCAGCAGTCAAAAAGGCCGTGAACAAAACTTGTGGTCCCGTCAATAGGGTCAACGACCCACGTGGGTTTATCGCTAAGACCCACGTCGCTGTAGGTTTCTTCGCTGAGTATATCATATTGCGGCGTCCCAGTTCGAAGAATTGTAAGAATCTCCTCTTCACACTGCTTGTCGTACTGTGTCACGAGGTCCACCGAATTCACTTTCGTGTTGATGTCCAAAAGTGTATTCTCCCGCTCTGCCATCGCCTTTTCAATGATCGAGGCGGCGACATGCGCCGCACGCAGGGCCAATTCCACAGCGATGTCAAGTTCCGCATCACTAATAGCCATCGCCGACAGGTTCTCCTTTTTCGTTGGATCTTCTTTTCTTCAATTATTTGCCTACGCTCTCTATTCGCCAACAATGCGTTGCCTTCTCTATTTATATTCCACCCACACACCCAACTCCGTTCCCTTCTCTTTGAGTTACTAATAAATTACTAATGCGTCTCTCGGGGTAAAAAGAATCCACACAAAAGTAAAAGGGAAACGGGTAGAAACAGAAACCATGCGTCGTTTGTACTAAAAAAAAGTATAATGGGAGAGCTACACACGCATGTCTGTAATGCTATTTGCAGAAAAGCAATGATGCGTTGCAAAATAAGCATCTATAACAATAAAAACAAAAAAGCAGAAAAAAGAAAGAAAAAAAAAAAATTTGGTTTCACATTCAGTATCACCGCAGAGTACATACCAGCACCCAAATAATAACACCAAAGAAAACAAAAAAGAAACTGATAATAATCGCACCTGTTGATGCGCTTTACATCGTTTGTGCAGAGAAAGCACCCTCCTGTAGGCCACTCCACTTAAAATATCACATATTCCCTAATTTTGTGCGATCGACCTGTTGAGTTTTCGGCGGTGGAGACGATCGCAACGATTTAAACCTGCGATAAAAACAAAGAATGCGCTCCGCACTCTCCCTTAAGAGTAATTCTTCACGAGCCGCGTCACGTTCTGCACGCTCCAGACGAAGAATACGCATGCATCTAAACCAATTTTGAATCATCACAACAGCCTCTTCCATACTGTGCTCCGTTATCGCAGTCGACTTGAAGTTCCTCTTCTCTGCTGTGTCCACTCTTGGGGCCTTTGCCGCAGCCATGACACTCCGTCGCCAGGCCCGCTTAATGACTGTGGCTGCGTCGACACGGCGAAGATGTTGGAAGAGCGCATCACTCAGTTCCCGTTGCTGTCGCGCCAACTCCCGACCCCGTGCACTACGAAAACGCCGCTGAGTCCACAGTGCCAACCGCAGAAGCGACTGGCTGAGTCGATGCATGATCCGTCGGGCAAATAAACCTGAAGTGACGCGTTGCAACAACTCCGCCTGCTCACGAAACCGCAATATGCGCTCCCGACGACAAACAATGATTCCCTTTAGAAAATGGCAGACTAGTTTTGCAGCAAACTGCAACGTCAACTGTTCCCTTTCTTCCCGCCTCGTCGCACGGAGATGACGCAAGCGCGATCGGGCAGCAGACAACCGCACAAGTCGTTGAATGACAAGAACGGCCTCGGTTTGTCGACGAATCCTCGCACGCGTTGCACATCCCCTCCATGTAGCTTGCAGCATAATTGCAGCCGCCTGCAAACGGTTACGACGTAGCTGCTCAAAAACTTCTGGGAAACGAATAATCCTCGCCAACTGCCTGCCACAGTAACCACGATAAACACGCTGTATCGTCGTGGCCGCGTACTCCTTTACCTCACAGTCACTATCCATTTCCGCTTTTTTTCGCGCCCTTCGTGCTATCGCTTTGGCCTGTAACTTCGAGAAAACAAAATTCAACGATCGCCATGTACTGTTAAAGTTATCCCCGGTGTTATTTAACTCATCCGTCATCACTCGCAGGGCGGTACTCCATGCGCGCATGCTCTCCTCCTCTACCCGCCGAGCCTCCAAGAACGCGACACGTCTTGCGTACCGTCGTCGTGCTGCAACTCGCCTGGCCCGGTGGCAGCGGTACGCACACTGAATGCGAAGAGCAGCATTCTCATGGCGGTGTGTGTGATGTCTCCACTTGCTCTCCATCCATTCGTGCAGTTCATTGCTTTTACGGTAGTCGCTGATAATTTCTGTTGCGAGGGTCGGTGCCCGTTCCACTGCGGCTGACGTCCCGTGCTTGGCCTGTATCTCACCATTGAAAAATACACCCCACAACAATCCCTGTTCAAGTTGCTCATCCAATAACTCCGTGGGTAATTCCGGTTGCTCCTTCTCACGGGGATAGGCCGGGGTGGATTGCAACGACATATCATCCCGTGAATTCCCGGAGAGCACATCAAGGTCAGCTTTCCACTGCAGCTTCCTTGAGGCAAAAAACTTCCTCCATTCACCCGCCCGTTCCTTATCTCGAAATTGAAGCTCCTCACGCACTTCGTCAGGCGACGCGTTTGAGTGTTCACGTCGCCAAAGGTAAAATGCGGCATCATCTTTGTCCTTAATTGAAAGGGGAGATAAAAGCTTCAAGGAATCGCCACTAAAAGGCCTGTTCGCAGGTGCTTCATAAGATTTGCTGGAAATATGCTTTATTACTGAAGGAATATTCTCCACCGTTGCCAAAAAGTGGCCGTCGGCGTTGTGTCTTACCGCATAAGAAGATGATGCGTCCAGTATTTTTCCAACTGTATCCCAGGCATTACTGGCCGAAACCCTCCTCGACGCCATCAGCGTGCTGTAAACACCATCCTCAACAAATGAAGGCTGAAAGGTGTGGTACTTCTTCATCTGCTCCAAAAACTTCTCAAAAATGGAGTGTTTCTTTGCAGTCGCATTCGCCAGATACCGTAAGGTGTCCTGGCTCGTACGGTTGGGAACCATATTCGTCATTATGGTGGAGTCACTGGAGAAAAAAACACGTGTCATTTGCCGAGAGTGTGTGTTCCAGTTGCTTTGGGTAGTGCGGGAGAAGTCACTGCGGGGTCCATTGGCACTAGAGCGAAACCCACTGCCATAGGACGCGTGTGACCGGCTGCGTTGCATCCCTGTGGACGCCGACTGCGCAGATGGCGGTGCCAAAGAATGAGGCCTATCCTCAATGTGCATGTGGGCCAACTCCCCTGTGAGTATAGAAGGGACGGAAAACACAAAAGTTCGTCCCCGCAAAGGAATAAACACGTATACTGACAGAGAAAAAAAAACACAAATGTCAGTTTGTGCGTATGCAATTTGAAGAGCAAGAGAAGAGCAAACACACTAAAAAAAAAAAAAAAAAGCAGATAAACAGACAGACGCAGCGTAAAATAAAAGATTAATCCACAACATGAGTTCAAACATAACCTTCAACGCACGTCCTCTCGCCTTTCCCTCCACATCCTGTTGGGCCTTTCATGCCGACAGAGAGAAACAGAAAAAAATATTCGTGCAAACACAAATCGAAACGCTCATTGCTCTCTCATTCTCCCTTGCTCCTTCAGCCACTTCTTATACGACTCACGTGGTTCCCAGGGCAGCGACTCGATGTCAACATCCCCACGTCGCCGCCGCAGCACCTCCTCTAGGGAAGCCGCATTACAACCCCCCCATTTCGAGGCCTTTGTATACAGCACCAGGTCATCAACGCACTGCTTCAACGTTGGCTCACAGAAGCCAATAATGCGGGTATTGATGGCCCGTTTCGTGCAGTGCATGTAATCCCACAGTGCGCTCGACAAGCTTGGTGGTTTGGTGCTGAGACGCTCCTCCAGTGGCGCAAAAAACGGTGAATCACCCACCATCTTGGGGCTTAGGAAGCTACACGATAATTCCACAAATGACCAAGTTGGCATTGATGCTCTGCACGTAACAGGAAAAGAAAAACAAGAAAAAAGAGGCAAAAAATTATGGTAGCAATGTGAGAAAACACACACAAAAAAAAAACACATTCTTTTTTGTCATGTTATATTTTTCGTTTATTTCATACAAAAAGTGGTCATGATGCTAATATATATATATAAAAAAAAAAAAAAATGTATTCCTTTTATTAAACGTGGTCCTCGTAAAAGCCACGGGTTTAACGTTTTTTTGTTTTTATTATTATTATCATTTTTTATTTATAAGCCCCTATGCCACCGTGGATTCTCTTTATTTTACTGCATTTTGCCTTTCAGCGGTGTGCTTCTGCTGCCTAAAGTCCACACTTGTTCCATTCCTCCCAGGCGCCTCTTGCGTGTATTGCATGCATGTATGCGGGTGTGAATCGCACATTTCCTCCGTGTCCCTCCCTTGACTCCGAGCCCCAGGGCCATGCAGACACACACAGACAGAAGTGCAAAAAAGAAAAAAAGACAAGTGGATTGCACGACAATGAGGTCAAGCCTTCCACCCGCGACGAATGCGGAATTTAATGTCCTTCTTTTTGTTCTCCTTGCCGCGATTTGACCGGTCACTGGCAGACTCCTTCATTTTCGCTCCCACGCGCCGTGAACGTTTCGTCATGTTAAACAATTTGCCTCGCTTTGCATGCTCCGAGTGCGTGGCGTTGAGTTTGCTCTTCTTCTTCTTGCGGGCCTCAAACTTGGAGCGGGCCCGCCGCGCCTCCTGCGCTCGTGCAATTTTCTCCTCTCGATCCTCCTCTCGCTTCTTCTCTGTGAAGTGCTCGATGTCATGCGACGAAAGATCCGCCGACACGCTGTGAATAAGTTCTTGTCGCCTCTTCTCCCGTGCCTCGTGATCCCGCAGTTTCCCGCGCAGCGAACGATGACTGCCCTTCTGAGCCTGAAGCCGGCGTATGCGCTCAAAGTCCGCGTCGCTGAGAAAGCGTTGAGCGGAAGCTGGAACCGTATAGGCCGCTGCTGATGATGGGGAGGCCAGCCGCTTGGAAGCCGAGGATGCACGCTGCGCTGGGCGCCTGGAATTCATTTCTGTGTCCTCAAACCACTCCATTTCCTCGTTGTCTCTTTCATCATCGACACCCTCTTCCTCTTCTTCTTCTTCTTCTTCTTCTTCTTCTTCCATGCACTCTTCTTCTTCGTCGTCAATTTCCTCCTCCTCAACTTCCTCATCCCACTCCTTCTCTGCGAAATCATCATCCTCAACACTATCCTCCATCTCCTCTTCCTCCACGCTGGCAGTGTCTCCCTCAGCACCACACGGCTTGCGGGGGCCGTCATCATGCGGCACGGTGGAGCTCCGGCACGAGCCGCTGCGGTCCCGGCTCACCTCCCCATCAGTGCCCAAACTCAAGACATCGCTATTCGCATCGGCCTCGCCCTTGGACCTTTTCAAGGGCGGCTCATCTACCGCGCCGCCCACCGGCACAAGTTGTGGGCACTTCTCGTTTTCGGCATCACTACCGCTGCAATCTGAGGCATCGAGAAAATTTCCCTCAATGTCATCTGGATCACAGTCGCTGCTGTCTGTCACCCAGGTGCCATCGCTGTCATCACTGTCGTCGTCATCACTATCATCAGAGCCGCAACAAAAGGAGTGCTCATCCTTCGCATCATCCATCGCGGGGTAGAGTAGCTCAAGACCTGGAACGTCGGTATACACGTGCTCCTTGCCATAAACAGGTCGTTTTTTCTCCCCCATTCCAGTACCCCCATGGCCAAAACGCAGTTTTGCAGGCAACAGCTCAGGGTATACGTCACGGTAAAGTTGAATAAGCGCACGTGCCGCCATAATGACGCCTCGGTCGCCCCTCTGCGATTTGTACTCCGTCAGGTCTTTCAGCAAATCCGCATTCATGGCTAATGGCTGTCGTTTACAGATCTCACGAATGGTGTTGAGGCCGATGGTTATCGCATCTGGTGAGGAGCGATCCGAGACAAAATGATTTGCAATGGCCTTCACAAGCGGTTCAAGAACATCCGGTGGTACCAGGCGGTGAACACACATAACAGAAAGCGCCAACAATTGCGTCACGTGCAGTTGCGAAGGTTCCATATAACGCTCAAGAAAACCGTAGAGCGGGAGATGCACCACCTCATGCTCTAAAATGACTCGAGCAATAACATTCAGGTAGAGAATGCGAACCTCAAAGCGCTCTGTGGTCTTCTGAAGACGTGCGAGTAGACGTTCCACAAATTGATGTGGATTGCGGAGAAGTCGTATTGGATCTACATGTTGTTTCGCTAGCAACTCCTCCGCCTTCTCTTCCTTGTTGTATTTCTGCCTTATAGAGTTCATTTCCCGCTTAAGAATGCGCTCTCGCTTGCTCGTCTTCTTAACAATCTTTAGTTTCTGCTTCATCCTTGAAATCTCACGACCGGGATCAACCGCCTCGTCGTCGCCGTCATCGTCATCGAGAGATGTAATCTTTGGCATCTGCAGAAGAAAAAAACGAAGGGCGGTACGAAGAATAGGGGTGTGGCGCGTGAAACAAGCCTGCGTCAGCACCTCCACTGTCCGCTCATTCGCCCAGACACGGCGGCGGTACAAGTCGATCATAACCATCTCGGCGCAGCGCGCCTGCACCGGATCATCTTCTGCCATGACAGAAAAAAGAAAGTTTTGTGCCATCTTGTTCACTTGTGCCCCATTCTTTGCTCCGGGCATGTTTACCTTGCGCACATCGCTCACAATGTGGGAGAGAATAAGCCGGCGGAGGTTCTTCTCGCGCTCCTGCAGAAGCTGAAAAAACAGCGGGAAGGAACGCACTGCAGAAACAATATTTTTGGATCGTAGTAATGCGAGGGACTTGACGAGAGCCAAGCGCAACTCCGGCGTCATGGCACTTCCCTTATATTCCTGCAAAAGCCTCAGTACCACCTCCGCCACCTCCGCCGACTCGGTGGGGTAGCAGTGGCACACATGGCAGATGTAATTCAGCACCGTGATGTACTGCGGATTTGTTGCCTTTTGTGTCATGATGGTTTTGCTCAGGGCCTTAAAGTGATCGAGCTGCGAGATAAACTCATCGCGGTAAGCCTCTGGATCACGGCGGGTGCAATTCTGCAGCAACAGCAGCGTCCCTCGAAACGCCGGCTCCGTCATTGCCACCTCTTCTCCCCCCTCACTACTAATCCCCAAGAACAAAGAGACCGCAGACTCCTGCTAGCCAAAACAAAAGGCAAAATAATAATAAATAAATAAAAGCGTATGCATACACACACACACACGCACAGACACACACAGACAATATATATCAAAGACAGAAATTAAGGAAAAAGGAAAAAAGAAAAAAGAGATCAAAAAAGATAATAAAAAAAGATAATAAAAAAAGATAATAAAAAAAGATAATAAATGTTAGGGGTAAACTAACGATGCGTCCTGTCAAAAAAAAAAAAAAAAAACAGAACTTAAAAAAAGTTATCATTTTATTTTTATTGTTGTTGTCTCTTCCTACTTTTATTCTTCCTCGTCCTCGTGTGTCGGCTGCTGCGCTGGCCACAACTCCCCTCCCCCCGCCCTCAAAAGAGTACACACGGGGAGTAGTTATTGTGCCCTAAAAGATAAAATGTTCTTCTTACTCCTTCTTTTGTCACTTCGGTGCGCTTCACTCATTCCACCACACGCGTGCATACCCGTTTCTCCTCTGTGCATCTCGTTTTTTTTTTGTTTTTTTGTTTTTTTAAGTAAAAGGAGCAAAGACTAAAAACAACAACACCACCAAAAAAAAAAAAAAAAAACAGCCGTCACAAGGAACGTGGCCGCCGGGGGAGGGGGGGAAGTTACAAATGACAAGTGGTGCTGTTAAGGAGCGGCCCCTGGCCATCCAAACTTTTCCACCAGTCATTTACAAACAAATCGCCGGGATCCAGTTTCTTGCGGAGCTGCAAGAACTCCTCCCAGTTCTGCCCATACGCCTCTTTTAACTGCGCTGGCCCCCATGTGTAGTACTTCGCCCAGTGCGGCCTACCGCCCATTGCTGTCATGGCGTCGCTGAAAGCCTGATAGTACCGCAATGTGTCTCGCGCGTAAAGAAGATATGGTCGATACATGACGATGCCAATCCAGCATGTCTTTCGCCCATGCGCGGGTGAAAGAGCCGTTTTATCGGCATCTGTAAAACGAAACTCAACGGGGAAATGAACGCTAAAATTCTCGGATGCGATCATTTCACGAAGGAGAGCAAACGCTTCAATGGCTTTACTAGCATCAACGGCCCATTCGCACGCCCATTGCTTAAAAAGGCAGTCAAATGTAAAGCACTCAATTGGAGTTCCATATTGTACTTCTGATGCGGAGTAAAAGATTTTGCGGTAGGCGCGGTTGATGTACGGCTGCATCTGTGGGTAGAAAGTCGCGGCAGCAAGAACCGCCTGAACAACGCCGTGTCGCAGCCAATTTCCCTTGAGAGCTTTGCAGAGTCGAGTGTACAGACGCTTCTGATCCTCCAGCCATGTCTGATATTCCAAAGCGGCATCGCTTGAAGGCTTCACCAGGTTCAGCGATTGCGGTATTTTACGCGATGTCGACGATGACGATGTGTTCGTGTGAGAAAAACCCCCCGCTCCACCCTCCACTGCAGCGCCTTCAAGACACATGCCAATAGACTCGTAGCAAAACTCTGTATTTGGCATCCAAAAAAAGCGGTAAAACGCGGAGTCGGAGACACGTCGCTCGAGTATGTCACCCTCAATTAACTTAAGGAGTGGAACTGGTGAGCTGCGAAGTCTCCATGTTTGCAGCTTCTCCGCCCGTATCGTCACCTGGACAACAACACCCAGCATGCCGAGATGGCATGCCGCAAGTGAAAGCTCATTGGGAGTGGATGCGTCAAACTTGCGGAGTTCACCGCTGCCGTCCACCAACAATATTTCAACGACGTAGTCTGAGAGGGACCGTGTGTTGGTGCCACTGCCATGTGTTGCCGTGCCGATGGCTCCAGCAATCGTCGTGAGTACATACGACGGAACACATCGAAGCATTAGGCCATTTTCACCCAGCTTCTCAAACAAATCAAGCAGCAAAACCCCACCCTCAGCCACAATTTGTAGCCGCTCACAGTCAACGGAGAGGATGCGATTAAGGCGGTCCATGTGAATGAGATGCGCATCGGTAAAGGTGCACGTATTGGGGCTCTTTCCGGCCCCGGCAACGCGGCATCGCTCACCCGCCTGCTTCAGTCGCCTCATTAACGCCACAACTTCCTCAATGGAGCCGGGGTGGTGTTGCTCGCGCGGGTGGCACTGGCCAATGCACGCCATGTTTGTCCAGGCGGGCCGCATGGAAATGTCAGAACGCATCTGTGTTTGCTTTCTAAAGGCAAAAGGCAATAAATAAATAAATAAATAAAAGAAGAGAAAGAAAATGTAGAAGGCAAATAAAACACCTGGTGGGCCACAGCGTTGGAAAACTGCAAAAAGTATGCATGTGTGCATGAGGCAGAACAAGCATCAACAGGAAGAGAACAGAAAATTCGCAACGACAGGGGGTAAGTGATATATATATATATATATATATGTGTGCCGTGGCGTTCAGCAGCAACCACAATGTTGCAGAAGCAGCGGCAATAAAAGACAAATGAAATAGAAAGAACACCACCACCGCCATGATACCCATCCTCTTATTCGTTCAAACGCCCAATGCAGTACTTCTCCAATAGTTTCACCGTCGATGGAGGGTGGAAGTGTGAAAAGAGAGCCGCTACGTCATGACCACCGGCCCCCTCCATTATCAGCAACCCACCAGGATGCTCATGCACGAATGAACTCACATCGAGCAGATTCCCATTGATCACCAGCCAGAGGTCGGTCTCAGACGCATGACGTGCAACCTCCTCCCGCGGAAAGTACGCCACATTTGGGCAGCGAAAATCATCCAGCGAGGCAAAAAACGTCTGCGCATTTTTCCCAATTTTTGTATCCGCCACGATCTTCCGGTTGTCGTCATAAGGAGGCAAAACAAGCAATAAAAAAACTCCCACCATAATACTCACAACAGCAGTGAAAAGTATAATCCTACTGCATGATCTCCTCTCTTGAAGCATCGCCGTGTGTGTCTGCGTACAAAACGCCCCCCCCCTTCTCAAACACAAATAACTCCTTTCGGACTTTTCCCCGTTTCGTTTCGTGTAAAAATTTCGTCCTTTGTTGTCTGTGTTTGTGGGCTTCTTCTTTTGTGTGCCAAGAAAAGGGTGAAAATAAAGTGCCACGTGCACCTTCCAAGCCACACAAATGCACGTACACAAAAAAAAAAAAAACTGGGTTTGCTTTCAAGTATGAAAGACATGAGTTCCAAGCAAAAACTTCAAAAGCAAAAAAATCATCAATAATTTTGAGTATTGTTTGCGTAGAATGCACGAATAAGAGAATCAGCCCCAGCAGGGACAAGGTTGCTGATGTCCGCAGCATGATCTGCCGCAAGTGCCTCACGGACGGCACTTGAAGAAGTCTCATTGGCAAATATTTCCACCTCCATGAAACGGTAAGCGGCTAGATCGAGGGTCAGAAGCCTCGTACAGTCGTTTTCCGTATCCTTCACATTTTCCCGCAAGAAAGAACCATGCCGACGCAACATATCCTCACACCCCACATTCGTGCATGCACGTCGCACAACCATCACGTCAAAATTATCCAACAACTGTTTAAGAAGTTTTAATGACCAGCAGCCGGGTCTCAAAAAAGAAGCAAACAAATCGCTCCCACAAACAAACACGACACTCAGAGGGTGCTGTCGCACCCACGCCAACTGTGTCGCATTAGGCGCCGCATCGGTTTCATACCACCTCTGCGCGGCCTTCTGAAGGTGATCCAAAACGTGCACGGTACGGACATACATCGGCTGTAACCCCTCCCACTCGTCAACGGCAAGTGAGGGATGATCGGCCAGTGCCGCCTTGCATATCGCTGCCCGCTGAGCAAAAGGGCGGAGACCTTCTTTTCCATAGTGATCATTAACAGGTGAAAAAAAGCCACCAACAACTACAACGTTGGAGGGGGCATCCGTCGCTTCTGTATGATGCATCAATGCGTCGCGGGCCGCGTCGTACATGGCAATGTGTGCCAGATGAATGGGATTGAAGGAGCCACACATTGCCACAAGAGCAAGACGCCTAACCACCGTCACATCGATGGCACTCCATGGTGTTAACTTCAACCCACTGAAACGATAAGATGCCGCTGTGTCATCGCTCATGTTCCTACGCCACACACAACTAACTACCCACACAAGCAATAGACACAAATCCACAAATATGCATATAAATATATTTATTTATTTAACTCAAAGGAGGGACGCAACAGTACACACACACAGAGAGAGAGAAAGAGAGGGAAAAAGGAAGATATATATATATTCATATGAATATTGAAAGCACACAGTTACAGAGCACAACCAACAACAAAAAAAAACAAAGAAAAATCACGGCAATCGATATTTCATGAATGCACCCACACAACAAATCACCATTCCCCCCTCTCAGTGAAGAGCATCGATTAATTCATCTGGAAGCACCTGCGACGAGGAAACAGTACCGTCCATGTAGGAATGATACTCCGCCTCGCGTCCTTTTGGAATAAAAGGAATGCCGAGCTGGTAGGCCTCCACATTCTTAATATACCATATCTCTTTTGCAAGAATAAAGTCATCCAGATCCTGCCGCTCCCTTGCGGCAGACATATAAGAACGGGTAATTTCAACCATCACTCCCGTCGCTCCTGCCGCAACAAGCAACGGCATACGATACACTGTGTGCAGGGGCAACACAATGCAGCCTGCGGCGCACAAAATACCAAGCGGCACGGCACCATTGAACTCTAATACTTTTGCCATCCATGCGGCTGTCAGCTCCTTCTCCTCCGGCGACACCTCATCGTAGTCGTAGAGGCCAAAGTCTGTGATGGGATGGTAGTACTGCCGCGGCCGAACGCGGGAGGGATGCACCGGCACTAAGCCAATGCGCTCCCAAAAAGTGTACGGGTCTTCTTCCGGCCCTGGAAGCACCTGGTCACCGCCACTTGTGCGGAGCAGCAGCACTGGCGCGGTTTCAATACGCACATTTCTCAGGTTGCCACGCCATGCGGACGCCTCCCGTTGATCCCGCAACTGCG